ATAGCGTCTTGATAGATTGTGTTAATTCTTGAATTCGATTCTCGGTCGAAGTAATGTAGGTATTCTCTGTACTATATAATTACTATATTGTAGTATATCTAATCTTAATAATTTTTTTTTCTAAAAATGAGCATGCGAGGTTAAAATAAGCAATTTAGTCTTTCTAGCTATTTTTTGCAAAAGCATTTTGGGTTTTGTTTCAAATTAGTTTATTTTACAATATTTGATGTTTTTTGAGTAGCTATGTGGTCACAAGAATATGACTGAACAGATTTTAATGAAATTTTATATTTCACTTATAAGGAAATACGTAAATAACGTTTAAGTGAATATTCATAAATGAAGATTTTTGCGGTTCACTAATTTTCTGTACTCCGCGGGGGTCTGGCTCTTCTATAATCCTTTTATTACTTTTATTTTAACAAAAATTAAATCCGAAAATTACGAACGTCACGGTGAAGCAATCTTTATGTCGTGTCGACATAAACTTTAAAAATATAAATTTATTTTTATATGAAGATGAAACAACCGTTTCAATATTACTCTTGTAGTTTTTGTGTGTCCAGTAGCTGTTTGAATTGAGCAAAATAAGTAGGTAAGTTGCATTACCGTTTTTTATTTCAGTAGTGATAATTTTTTAAATAGGTCATAATAGAATACTAGGGTTGCCTTTGCTATCGATATACGTTGGTGGGGCACTAATAAGAAATAATATAAGTTTTAATATAAGGATTAGAATATAAGTTGGTCCATCGTGAAAAAATAAATGGAAAGTGGGGAACGCGCACCGCAGAAGTCAATCTAATAGGTTATTGTTAATATTATCTAATAGCAATATACCTAATCAGGTCGACCTCCACGCGGTTCCCCCTGGAAACTATCATGATTAATTCCTGATGAATGCATCATAATAGGCTAACTGGCCTGTTTTCATTCTCATCGATTACCCTTCACTGGTGGTTCGCCAGCGTATCCCGTTAGCGTAGGCGGAGTTACCAATCCATTTTCATCCAACAAAAAAAATAATAGGTTATTGCCAGCAATGAAGATAAACATTCCTTACTATAATAACAATCCCTTTTCTTTAATAGCGACGGTTATATTGAAGAAGAAAATTAATAAAAAATAGTAGCTTTTATCAGCGCTATCTATATATTTGGACCATTATTGTATAAGAATAGTCTTTATTATTAGGATAATGTAAAAGACTTATAAAGTAAAAATTAATTGTGTCAAGTAGGTAGGTATCAATCGATTCAACTTTTCTATTTTCAATCGACTTTAAAAATAAGGTTTTTAATTCCGTTGTATTTTTTATGTTTATAATTCCGTCAGTTCAGACCGATTTGGAAAATTATTTTTTTATCCGAAAAGATATACTTACAAAATAGTTTCATAGAAATTTTATCAAACTCGGTTCAGTAGTTTGTCTTTAAATCAAAATAACTGGATTTGTCACAATTTTTTGTGGAACACAGTTTAATCATTATGTCTAACGTCTGAAAATATAAAGTTCATATGTAAAGATATGACGTAAGATTGTTTATAAAAACAGTTCTTCAGGAGTTTCAGAAAAATATTAATATTATATTATACAACACAAAGTTGAAATAAATAAGTATTTTGCTGTGAATACTTAATCAATTATTATCGGTTACCGTAAATATAAGTATAAATGATTTATCGTAATGGACATCTTACAAAACTGGCATTTTTTGTAAGAAGTCCGATTGTAGTCTTATTGGGTGTGCTGTATATTTAGCTTATTTATTATATAAAATGAAGTCTAGTTCATCGTTTTAAAAATTATATAACTGATTGACTTTTGAAAGTTAAATTTTGACCGTTGTGGAATCTTAAATAGGCATGATTTTGAAACATATGTGTATTCCATATTTCAGGATTATTTAATTTCAATAGTTTAATATTTATAACAATTGATATAATTTATTGTACGATTTCTATGGAAAAGTATAAATACGTCCAATAATGTTTTGCTTATCAGAATGTAAGCAATAAAATTAAAAATTTAATTTTTCCTCTTTATAAATTTTTGTTGTAAGCAAAAAATCACGATACCCATACCTGGTTATATTGCTCCTTTTGCCAGTACGCAATAGATAATTGTGTTTTTTGTCGATTTATTATCAATACGTTTGTTAATAATTTATGTAAAAAATATAAGCACATAAATATTATCTACTAAAGCCCTTTTGCAAAAAATGAACATTTGCGATGTTTCCAAATAGTTTTTTTTATTTACTTCTTTATTATTTGTTTATAACAACATCTTTTTGCTAAAGAACTTCTATAATCAACCATCATTAACCTTACACGGTTTATCCATTGTTTAACGAATACCTATTTAATGTAAAATCAAATTTAATATTTACAGGTATAATCAATCTCCTTGTAAATACTACTACAACAATAGTAGAGATCGATTTATTTAAAAGTGTTTCCTATGCAATAAAATAAAAAAAAAAAAACTATTTATTGGTCTTTGGTTGAAAATATCCAACTAATATTATACCTAAGTGTTATACTTGTAAATATGAAAATTCGAAAAGGCTGTTTGTTACTCAATTACATTTATTATTAAACGGCAGAATGAAATTGAATGATACTTCGTATGCTGATTTACGCAGACAAAGCCGCAGGAAACAGTAAATTTCAAAACAAACATTTGCCATTGCTAAAGTGTTCCTTTCTTTAACAAATTTTGTGTTTGTGATCGAACTTCTCTGAAACGGATCGATCAATGTTTATGAATTTTTTTATTTATTTTGGTAGATATGAGATTAGGTTTTTTTTCTTTAGTGGTGTTCACCCCGATATTAGGATATTTTGCCAAGATTAAAACGGGAAAACGACAGTAATAATAAAAATACTTAACTCAAGCCAATTTAGAAAGAATAAGGATTAGGTCTAGGATATTTATAGGACATAAAGGATATACATGTACATATGAGAATATACTTATAAATATATAGGATAAGCAATTGATGCAACAATAAATGTATTCATATAATGTAACTAAATCTTAATATTGTTATTATAGTATATATATGATAATAGTATTTTATAGATAATAGAATCATTGGAAGAAAGTAGAGTAAGAATAGAAGTTGGGAATGGAATACGGATAGATCGGAGATGATTAAAAAGGGAGGTGTAGTCAAACTTAGAACATGAGAAAAATATATGATTCAAGTCCGCCACTTCAGCACCGTAATTACACGACGAACTTTGTACAATACCAAGCTTGTATAAATGAGAAGGTGTGCATACGTGACCTAGACGCATACGAGTTAAAATAGTAGTTGCGGTCTTTCTAAGGTTTAATTTACAAAACCATGGTTTGAAAGGAATATCGGGTTGTATAGTGCGATAATATCTTCCGTTTATTGTACAGGTTTTTTCCCAATATTCCTTCCAGGCATATCTTAAATATATTTTTGAGAGACAAGCTAGGTTACTGCAGTAATCATGATACGGATACATATCGCCACAAGTTACAGCTTCTCTTGCAATAAGGTCAGCTTTGTCATTGTCGCTCATACCACTGCGTCCTGGTAACCAGGCAAAAGAAACGGAATACCCTCTCAACATGCAAAGATAAAGAGAGATTAGGTTGTAAACTATATTTCATATCGCTAGGAGATTAGGGTATCCCTATCCAGAAACAAATATTTATATGGCAGAACAACGTTTGCCGGGTCAGCTAGTCAGTATATAAGAATAAATAGAATAATAATAATAAAAGAATAATAATACACAATTGATAAAAGAAAATTTGTCAACGCGTATGAAAATAAACGACCCGGTTTTAGTGAAAAAATAAAACAGCTGGACAACGTAATTAGTTGGACGATTGCTTTAAATTCGGATACTACATAACTCAAGGTTGAGAAATTTTATAAAAAAATTGTCTTACTTATAACCAATTTGGAAAAAGGAGGAGTTCTACTATTACTAATATCATTATCACTATCAACATTATATTAGTCTTAAAAGTCCACTGCTGAACATAGTCTTCTATAGATTGTTTAATAAATGCCCATAAGAAATGGTCCTGAGTCACTTGCATCCACTGACTTCCTACTAATTTTTTTTAACAAAATCTTGATTTTGAAGAAACTCAGCAACCGATAATATCCGGTCAATCAAACATTTGTATTCATAAGTACCTATGTTTATCTAGGTATCGGCTATATTTTACATGTAAAGAATAAAAAATGTAATTATTATAATTTTATGTTGTTGATGAAAAGTTGCTGCTCTATATACTCGTAGTTAGGAGCTAAACTTTTTTTGTATGGTTATGCTATCTACAATTATGTGTTTTTGTTATTTATATTGGATAATTATAACGAAAAGAGAGACATGTTTTTACCAGAGGGAGACTGTACAAAAGTGAAGCAGTTGTATTTGGAAGGCCGTGAAATTACAGGGTACAATGACATAATATCTTGATCTTCAGGAATAGCAACGCATGAGGGGTATCATGGGTGACACAGTATAATCTGTTATGTCCATGATACTATTCATGTCTATAGCCGACGGATACTACTTTCCATCAGATGGGCCGTCAGCTTGTTTGTCATTCTAAGTTGCATAAAAAAAATGTTGCAAGGTATTTATCACTCAGTAATTAAACTTCGGGTTATTGGGGACAATCCGGCGGCATACTTTCCGTAGTTTCAATTTATACTTTTTGTCACGTAAATTGGCACTGATGACACAAGATTTGACTGAACTGCTAGAGAGCCTACTTTTTACGCACTTTTTATGTTGTTACTAGTAAAACTTTACAATTAATTTATTTGTTTAAGTCTGATAATTTCATGCATGGATGATTTTGTAAATTATGATGGGGGTACCATTAGGATTATCTAACTCGTGTCAACAAAGCAACATTTGGAACTGAATCGAATCTTGACGTGCAGTGTACAGTGCAGTGGAGATTCGTTGAAGTTATATAAAATCCGAGCAAAACTGCCGTTCGCTTCCATTATTAAGTACGGTCGAGAAGGCGCGAGCGCATTATAGTGTTGGGCGGGAAGCTGTTAAACGACGACGCTATAAACTGTATATTCGTGTGGCGAAAATTTCAAAAGTTAATATCTAGTGAACTTGAAATATTGAACATTCGTTAACATGTGGCGTCATTTATTCTGTGTAAGTTATTTTTATAGTTGTAATTATTATTTTTAAATATTTTTTATATTTAATTTAATTACAGAATTCTAAAAAACAACAATTGCATATTTGCATGTCTTGTAGAAAATTAATACGGGAATAATGTTATTAACTATCTATAATTACTTTTCATAGTTATTTCATTATATTTGTATTGAAATTCTAAGTTATAACAAAACCTCAACAATTATTTTTGGCAAGTTATTGAATTTGTTATTGAAATGGCGAAAGTACAAAAAAAATCTTTTGCTTGGAAATTGCTTCATTATATCCTTTGCTTGGATTTTGCTAGACATTTATTATAAATATTTTTATTGGTGTAAAACATATTGGATTAACTTAAACTGTCTCCTCCTCCATGTGTCTCGTCCTTATAGTCACTTTCGATACTTTTCCTCATTCTTTCAATATCATTTGGCCATTCATTACTTTTTTCCAGGTTTTGTCAATGACCTATAATTCGGGTTTGCGCTTATAAACATTTTATACTTATTCATGCAAAGGTTGTTAAAACGTAAATAAATCAAGTTGTTCCGTAGATATTCTATTATCATTTCAATCGATAGAGTCAATTCTAATCATATCTTTGGTATCATACAAAAATAATTTTGGTATTAGTAGAGAATAAATAAATAAAAATAAAATTAATAATTATTAGTTACAATCATACAGGAATGAGACAGGAAGAAGAATAGTGAAGAAAATAAATAATAGTTATTTTTTACTTATAGGTAAGATCACCTTAAATTATTAAATTAAATGCATTATTATCTATCCAGATACTAATACATACAAAGGCACAATTTGGTTGCAATTTTATATGACAGTTTCCTATTGTTTACTTCGCAGATGTTTTGTCATTATTGCTTTTAAAATGTTCAACGAACTTGAAAATACTTGACAAGGAATTTCTAACACAACGGAATTTCCCTTGCGATTTGTTAGTTCGGTAGTTACTTATTAGTTTCACTTTCATTTCAATATCTCTTGTCTGTCGGTAAGACGAGAACTCATTAAAACTATAATACTCCGTTAAATGGGTATCGTAGTCCCATAACGACCTTCTAGGTAATCTGTTGTCGCCGATGTTTTGAATTTAGAAAGTACACTCTAGCGGACTACCTGTAGCTGATACCAACAAGATTATACCAGCATTATTTATTACTAAAAATGGTAGGGCTGCTAGTTTCCTAATTCCGGTACGCTAACGTTTTTCATTTTAAATTAGAAAACATATTTTAATTTTATTATATTTTTCACTTTATCTACTTTCTTCCAGTGGGCATATATGTATTCAAATGAGTCATAGTATTTACTAATGGTTAAATGGCATAGTTACGACTCTACTAAGGACTTTATTTTCTTTATATAACATATTCACTTCTGTGTGAGCAAAATTAGTCGAAAAAAGAAATGCAGGTAAAATACAAAGGAACAATTTGTTTCTTGTCTATGTAAAATTAGACAATAGATTACAAAGGTTCTAGGTACTGATAGAATCCTATACTGATATACAATCTAATTATATATGTATAACAACGTTGGCAATATTGTTACATATTTTCATTACGTGGATTACCCTTCATCATTTCAACCTATATCTATCGACTGCTGAACACAGATTTTCCCTATATGCGTGCATATTCTATGCTTTGCGCATATATCCACTTCCGGCTATGCTATACGAATATATAATATCTTTTTTTCCAAATGCAAATAATAGTTTAAATCTTTATAAGTTACCTTTAAGTACATTTGTAAAATATTGAATATATCTCTGTGGGAAATCTCTATTAGCAGGTACCTAAATAAAAGGAAACCGCTCGGCATTATCTGCTCAGAATCTATTCTTATTACTGGTAGGAATTTTTAAAATACTGAATGCATAAATTATCAAATTTCTGGTTTTATTGATTGGTTAGTTTTATTATATGATTGGGGGTGAAATGTGTGCACATTTAAGTTTTTAGTCGGAAAAGTATAATATATATAAAACAATAAGCCTAACTCAATATTCCTCAAAAGTGGTAACGTATCTCTTCGAGAATCTTAAATACGTTATCTCATATAATATTATTGGTTTGCACTGGTACCCGTGATTGTAGATGGTAATAAAGTAAGTGTATGTCATCAGGAATGTATCATGATGGTTTTCAGAGATGACAATGAGACGTTCTCATTGTCACAAACAAACTCCTTCCACTAATTTTAGATAAAATTAAATGTTACATCGATAGCTGATTCTTAGGTACCATTTTCCACTAGATGGATCAACGTAACACGTTGCTCTACATTTTTAGTAGTGAACATAAAAATTTTAAAATATTGTGTAAAACAATGTATACAGACCGAGAACGTTGGTAAGTTGAATATATAAATATTTCCATTTTATATGTAAATTAATTAATTTATTTAGTTTATTTGGGATAACGACAGCTTTTTATATAATTAATTATATATTCCACAGTAAATGCTAGTTAATTACAGTTTTTACAGCGTATACATAGGCACTTGTTGAGTAAATAAAACCCTACTTTGTAATGCTGTTGTAATGTAGTTTGTAATAATAATGATGCGCCTGCTATAATGTTTATACTGCAGGTAGCACTATGCAAACATTAAAACAGACGATTTTACAAACTGTTCCGTATAGTGTACCCAATAGTGTGCATATGACATCCCTAAGGTGGTAAGTTATTAATAGGCACTCGTGTTCACAGGTTTGCATAGATACCTATTTACCTATTTTCAAGCTCCAACCAGTTCCTGGGCACTAGTAATAGTCTAGTATCAAGATTTATCATTGTAACGTATATTGCCTTTACCTTTATAAAGTTCAAAGTATTATTTAAGTAGGTGAGTAGTTCGTATTTTTACCTTCATGAATTATTTAATATTTTTAGTTTACGAATATAGATCGATGAAAAATTAAAGAAACAAAAAACTATTGAGTTTTATAAATACGAATTTTAATAAATGGCGATTTAAGAATCGAAATCATAAAAAATATTAAACCTTCAAAACACGAAAGATAAGTATTACTTTCTTTTCTTAATGCGACTCAGTTGGATAATTGAAGGCCTACCTGGTGTAAATTGGTATCTGTAGTTTATAGATATAAACAGCCCCATAGACATCACAGATTATACTGTGACGCCATAGTACCCTTCAGGCATTATTGTTTCCATTTCGGATCATGTAACAGTGTAATTTCACTATATATTTTGTACTATGTGACAACTTCTATAGTAGGTTTAGTCAATTATAGTTGTATATATATTTTTGTATTATTTTTAAGTATTCTATTTTTTAATCTTGTTTATGCACATAAATTGTATTGTATTTAAAGAAAGTGTACCTCGTGTAAATTGAAAAATAGAACTAAACATACATAAGTTCTGTATAAACATGAATTAGTAGGTATTCTTTATTGCACTTGTAAGTTACATTTATATACTTATTATCAGTTATGTATATTGTAATTTACAATTATACCTTGTTCTTTTAATCCTACATTGTATTTATTTCAAATTTACCTAAGTAATAAACAAGTTTCATTATTATTATACTTCTTTAGATTATGGTACTCGATATAAAGTACCATAGACGTATTTTGTGACAACATTGCTAAAGCGAGTTATCACGATTATTAAGTATTTACGACTTCACAAAGAGAGAACCATGACTGAACATCAGTCCAGATGGTAACCATAACGACATTCGCGGTCATTATCAAAAGTAATTGTTCAGATTCGGTCCTCGGTTCTAATTCATAGTACTTATTTGTTGATATCAACACCTTCGAATGCGGCCACAAAGATATCGATTACCGTCCCTGTCTATTCAAAGCGTACACTTTCTAGATACCTAAGTAGTCCTAGAAAGTAAACAGACGGACCATTAGCCCTGACCACAAAATAAGTAAAACACTCGGTTTATTAGAGGAATATTGACTGCAAGGAACTGGTTTTAATAAAATGTAGGTGGTCTCCCAGAATGTAGTACCAGTCGAAGCAATGTAAAATACCTATTTAGAGTTTGAAATAAACAAGCGTTGGAATCTTGGTGTTTTGTTTTATTAAGAATGTATTTGCTATATTTACTTATTTATTTATTGCCTACAAAAGCACTAGTAGCTGATATAAATATATTTTTATAAGTATTTTTTTATTTATTTAAGTGGATTTATGTCTGTTTGCCCCAGCATAGAATGTGTCATCCTATGCTACCCTTCCTTTTCCGTGGTTGTTGTAAGAGGCGCTAAGGAGGGTGAGGGATAGGCAGCAGCGTTTCTCTTAATACATCTCTAAAAGCCTAACTGCGGTTGCCAACCTGCTTGCCAAGTATGGCAACTACTGGTAAAACTCCCCTTATGGGGAAGGATTATATCCAGCAGTGGACAGTTAATGGTTAAAATAATAAAAAAATGGATTTATGTCAAAAATATGTTATTAAAAAATACTTAGCCATTTACTGAAAAGCTCATAGAAACCCAGTCTAGATGTTTAGAAAAAAAAAACAGAAACAAAAATTGTAGATAAGCTTACATATATTTATAAAAAATATAATCATATAAATCTATTCATATTCTATTGCTGATCACGGGTATCTCTCATAGAACAAGAATAAAAGCTATCAAGCGACCTGGTATAATTTGTATTTCTCGGGTGCATTCATTCCTTTCTATCTATTGTATTCTGTATTCGTTTGGTGTATTGTACTTTGTTAAGTTGGCTTTAATGATATCATAGGATGAAAGGGTGTAGGTGACAACTTGTATTCTTAATCTGACGCTACACGGAATGCAGACAAGTTTTCTGTGTATAGAACTAGTATTAGCTCATATTAAAACTAGTGAATACGTATATCTGTGATATGGTCAATAAACTTGAAGGCAAACATGGACATTAAACTTTTTCTAGTTAACAAATAAATTTTATATTACAAAAAATGTTTTAATTTAGTGTACCTATATCTAT